AGTATTTCTCCATGAGGGCCAGACTGGCCAGGTTTGTTCCCCCCTCCAAAGTGCCAGGCATCATACAGGCCATCAGTGAAGGAGCCCCAAGTTAACCCACTAACTAGCATAGTAGCCCCGCCTGGGACCCTGGTGCTCCTGATCTTTGTTCCTAACCAGAACCTAGTTCCAGATGGTCAAAGGAAGAAGTGTAGCTGTTGGTTCTAACAAGCTACCATTAGAGCCAGGCACCGAGAGTGACAAGAGAAGCCATCTGGTCTAAACTGACAGCCTGTGTTCAGCATTAAACTGCCCACCATGGTCCTCTCCCTGAGACATGGGGCAGAAAGAGCCCCCAGGGAGCCCCCACACCCTCCAGCTGCACTGTCTCCAGCCTGACTACCTAGAGCTCCATGTCTACACCTCTCGCAGGGCATGCACAGGGCTGGACAGGTCCTCAACACCAGTGGTCCTCATGGACCAAGACCACAACAGCCTTCCCTGTCATCCCAGAGAGTGCCTAGTGGCAGGAGCTGAATCCTGGCCACTGTTAAGAGCCACATGACACTTGGGCCCCAGTGGTCCTGCAAGGGAGACACCAGGAGCACCTCCTGGCATGCCACAGGGGTGTAGACTCTAATGCCACTGCAAGGGCAACCCGAAGTCCCCAAGAGCCTGCTGTCCATCTCCAGGTTGCTAGTCGCTCTGGACATATTCAGTCAGCTCTTTCCTGGGTCAGCTCTTTCCTCGGTAGGGCTGTTGGGTCGGTGCTGGACGCCTTTAGTGGGCTCTGCCTGTGGCTCCTAGGGGATTTTCCAAGTGTAGCTGTCTGTAAGGGATGGGGCGTCTCCTGTGTAGACACCTCTTTTGTTCTCCATGGCAGCTGATGGCCTGTGTCCCTTCTTGATGTGAACCAGGAAAAGGTACCTACCCCTCCCTCAAGATGCTTTCCATCCATCTGTGCCCACATGACCGTCATAAAGTATAGTTGCCAAGCTGTGGATCATGTTCTCCGTAGTTATGCTGTGCACAACCTGTGCAGCTGTACCAAGCAGTACTAGGTGCCCACCCCCTTCCCTCCACAGCTGTAAGCGGAAGTTGACACAGGCGGATGTATTTGTTAAAGAGTCCTCCCACCCTACTCAGAAACATTTGAAGGCACTGCTGGCTGATGCTTTTGTTCAGCCAACAGCTACAGGTAGATGTTGCATCACGTGGGTGATTCACAGAAGACTGAGCAACGATGTTTGCCTCCCAGAGGCTCACTGGATCTGCTTCAGACATGGGGTCATTCATGTATGGGGGAGAAGGGCCCCAAAAGAGGAGTAGGCAAGGCTCCCAGGGACAGCATGTGGGATGGCAGGTGCCTCAGATCTGCCCAGTGACGCTAGGTCTGGGCTCCATCTGGAGAATCCCCAGCTGCAGGGTGGTCTCTGGCTCATGGACTTGTACAAAGTTCCAGGGCATGTGCTGAGGGCCTGGGACACCTCCTCTTTACTCTCTGGCTTCCTGGGCCTAACCTGCTGCATGCAGTAGGTGCTCCCCTGTGCTCCGCAAACCCCGCTGTCTGGCTTCCAGTGGGACTGAGGGTTATCCCACCCTTCCTCTCTTGGAGCCCTGTGGCTGTCTTTGGGTTCTCCTTTGGGTTCTCCGCACTTCTCCTGTGGTGTGCTCAACCCATACCTTGGGTCTGTCCCATTCCCCTTTGTCTGTGTGGGGTGCTATGGGCTTTTGGGGTGATTCTCAAGGTGAGACAGGGACATGTGCTTCTGGGTGACAGCACAGGTGGATGCATGGTGTGCTAAGGACAGCAGCTCGCCAGTGACAAGGTTCCAGGTCCTGCCACATTGGGTGCTTCTGGGTATTGACTCACTGGTTCCTCCTAGACCTTCATCCTCCTTACAGGGGGAAACTGAGGCTCTGACCAGCCCAGCTGATGAATGAGTGAACATCCCTCCAAACCCGAGGTCCATCTATAAACACAGTGAATAGTGGTCATGACAGTTGGGGGAAGGCCCTTCAGGACCTGAAATGGTGTAGAAAAGGGAGGGTAGGGACAGTCCTTCCTGGTTTCAGAGGCTGAGGACCTGGTACTTCACTGACACAGAGGACAGAGCTATCCCAGTGCAGAGGGGGAGGGCAGTCATAGGTGGGGCTAGAAGGTCCTCAGGACACGTCAGGAGTGGCCAGGAAGACTTTGGCCTCGGTGTCAGAGAGACGGGTTGTGTCCCCACAGGAGGACATATCGTGAGGAGGGGTTGCAATGCTGAGGGTCCTGCACATCTCTGCTGGTGTGATTCACACATGCTGCAGAGGTGACTCTGAGGATATTAGTTGAGGGGTCGCTCGTGCACTCCTGGCCCGGATGATTATTATTTTCATTTTGCAAAGCAGGGGTCTCAAGTTTGAAGGTCATGGTGACCTTCATGTCAGAGCACAGCTGGGCTCTGAACCAAGCTCCATGGTGCCCAGGCTGATACCCTCACCACATGCTGGACAATCCCATTGGCCCGAAGAAGTCCTCCTAGCGGGGACAGTTGCCAGTGGGTAGCATAGGCCATATGGGAGCGCAGGGTCTGAGCACCTTAGGATCCTACAGGTAACCTGTACTGGGAAAACACCCCTGACCCGGGTCCAGGTGTCACCCAGTTCCAGGTAGAGCGCAGGGCAGTAGGCTCGGTATCTCGGGTGGGCTGTTATCCTTCCGGGGTCTTGGGCTGCTGGCCCCTGCAGCTTGCATCAGGATGTGCAGGAGGCCAGCAGACTTCCCCTGGCTTTGGCAACAGGGTGTCTGGAGAACCAAGGTGGAAAGGGAGTCACATGAACCAGGCTCAACAGTTAGCCGTGGGGCAGAGCTGCGCCAACATCCTCTGAGACAGTAGAAGAGAAGGAGGGGGTGTGGCAAGAGGAGATTTCACATAAGAGACCTGAGCCTGTGCTCTGGCTAAGGGGTAGATGTGGGGGCATGCAGGTCGGGAATCCTCACCCCGGGACCCCTACATCCATGGCAGTAAAGCCCCTTCTAGCCCCTGTGGCTGCCAGGTCCTGGCTGATTGCCAGCTTGCTCCACTACTGACAGCATTTAAAGGGCCCTGGGGCTTTCCCGCTAACCACACCACTGTGGGAGTGGCAGCCTCCAACCAAAGTAATTACAAGAGGCCTGGGCCTATCCCTGCTGCCTATGGGTATGTAGGAAATGGGATCAGAGACTCTGTCACTGCTAATACCAGACCAGCTGTGGTCCTTGCCTGTGGGCTTCTAGTGCCCTGGACCCTTGACTGTCCCCACCCTTGTCCAGTGGCCCTGCTGGACTGTAAGGTCTGCCCTGCTGAGCCATGTAGCACCATCCCACTGGGAGGCAGGGTCACTCATGTGTCACTTGTATGATCCTCTGATGTAGCTGGGGTGGGAGACACTCTGTTGTGTCCCCAGCCACTCCAAACCTCTCTTGCCTCATCTGTAAAATGAGCACTTGAGGGGCTGCTTTAACCCTGTCCAGGGTACTCCAGCCAATCACAGACATTTGCCCGGTCCTTCCACTCCCAGTCCACAACTGCTGTGCTGTGACCAGCCCCTGGATACTGGGCCACGTGCTTCCCGTACGCAGCAAATCTGGGGCCAGGCGTAGTCTGGAGCCAGCAGCTCCTTACTCCCTTCCTTTGCCTGGTGTCCCCAGGCCTGAGTTGGGGGCATCTGCAGCCCCTGGTGTCCTGTCTCTGCACACCAGGTGCTCCCACGCCAGCCCCCTGGGACCCTGGGGGAAGACCTCCCTCCCTTTCTCCAGGCTCCTTCCTCCAGAGGCTCCTGACTTGCTTCAGGCAGTGCTGATGCTAGTGGGTTTCAGGTTGCCTGTCTCACACCCCCTCAGCGGGCCACCCAGAAGGCAGGGAGGGCCGCAGGTTAGCCAGGTCCCAGGGCCCACCAGGCAGCCCACTTGTGTCCAGCACACCCATGCATGCCACTGGGCATGGACAGCCATATGATGGAGTGCTTTAGTATGAGAGGAGGCTTTGCAGGCAAAGCAAAGTTGGGGCTTTTTTGGTTTCTTTCCTCTAAAAAGAAATACTGTGCCAAGAGGCAAACGGTGTGGCCCTCATCCCAAGGGGGACAGCACCTGCCCTCTGCTTCCTGTCCCCAGCAACCCCGCCTCCTCAGAAGGCCACCGGCCTCAGGGACTTTGGTGGGACGGAAATCAGCAGTCTCCTCCCGCCCAGAGCCCCGCTCTCTGTTCGGAAGTCCCTCGCTGTGGCCATGGGAGGCACCACGCTGGCCGCTCCCCCGCCCTGCCTGCCGCCAGCCCAGCCTGCGGATTCTCTGCGCGGGATGACGCCCAGGCAGCCACCGCGGTCGCGCTGTGGGCTCATCAGATGACTGTGGGGGCTCCTGCCTACTGCACACCACCTTCCTGAGGAAGAGAGAAGGAGGGAGCACGGGATGCAGCGCTCAGGTCCCTGTGTCTCCTGTGCCTGCCACTGGCTCCTGCGCCGCCTGAGCACATAGCATCTGATTTTCTTTTTAAACCCCTTCAAGAAAAAGCAAAACAAAACTGCTGCCTCATTTCTCCTCGGGCTGATTTCATTCCGCTTCCCTGGAAGATGCATCTGGCCGAGGCAGGCGGGGGGAGCTCATTCACGACACCGCTGCTGTTGCCGCCGCCGCCACCACCACCTGGGCCACTTACTTTCTTTGCTCTCAGCGGCGGCGTCCTGGCCGGCCTCCGGGTGCCTTGAGCCGCTGCTCAGCAGCCGGGCAGCCTCTCCAGCATGCCTGCCTCCTTCCCCCGGCTGGCTCCTGCGCCGCCCGCCCCCCCCTTCCACATCCCATTGTGCCCCGCTCGCCTATCCCGTTAGCCCCCCCAGCTCCGCCTGCACCTCGCTGCCGCCCAGGCTCCTCCATGCTGCCGGGATCCGGGAGCTGGGTGATTAATTGGCTATGATGATGAGCGTCCCCGGCGGAGGAGCAGCCACCGTGATGATGACGGGTTACAATAATGGTCGCTATCCCCGGAATTCTCTCTACAGTGACTGCATCATCGAGGAGAAGACAGTGGTCCTACAGAAGAAGGACAATGAGGGCTTCGGGTTTGTGCTCCGAGGGGCAAAAGGTAAGAGCCTGGGTGCATTCACATACGTGTGTGTGTGTGTGTGTGTGTGTGTGTGTGTGCACTCCTGTATGAAGAATGTTCCCCCCGGCTTGGAAATAAGCATTAAATAAGCATTTTCCTAAGGGTACTCGGTTGCTAGACAACAGTGCTCTTTACCATTCTGCCTTCCTCAGAAAACATCAGGGCTCACTTTAGGCATATTTTTAATTTTCTATACACAGTATTGGTCGGAACAGGCTCTCCCCTCCCTACCTCCCCTACCTTGCTTTAATCATGGGGGTAATCAGTATCTTATGCTTTAGTTCAGCCACATTGTGGCTGCATTCTGAGCTCCTCATTTCAGATACACAGAATCACCGGCCCTGAGTTTCAGGAGCCCGGAAACTGCCTGCTCTGGAAGTGGGCTTCAGCTCCAAGGGCAGCAGCATCCATGTGTTTGCCTCTAAGGTGACTTTGCAATGGAAAGGTGGCAAGATGGTCCCCTCTGCCATGGACTGACTGAGCTGGCAGCACATACATCCTGTGACCTGTGGTGGGAGGCTCTGGGATGTGGTCCATGGCAGTATACCCACCACATGCCCTTTATGTGGGGGGCCTCCTTTCCAAATAAGACAGAATGGCATCACCCCTCGTGAGAGGAGACAGCTGCCCACCGCATGTGTGGGGGTCAGCCATGTGGAAGTTTCATCTCAGAGCTATGCTGTGGTAGAGTTCTGCACCTGTATGGAGAGAGGCTCCTTCCTGGCTGGTGGGCCCATCCGCCTTCAGCCCAGGCAGCCCCATGGTAGTCTGTGCAGAGAAAAACTGAGTCTGTCCCTCTGTCCCCTGTGCATGTCCAGGCCCATCTATGTGATGTCCTCTTCTTTCTACTACCAGGCATCTCCGTAGTCCCACAACTCACCCCTGGCCTCTCATGACAACCAAGAAGGTTCTTCTCTTGCCTTGGAGTTGTACTTGGCAGCCAGATGGGCCCCGGAAGCCAAGCCTTGCTCTGCTGAGGAGCAGAGGTCCAGCCCTCCCATGCATGCTGGTTCCACAGTGGTCACAGAGAGCCAGGCTCCCAGTGCAAAGGAGTCAGGAACAGATTCCAAATCTATAGCCACCCACCGGGTTAGCATTCTGTTGCATCTGCGTTCCAAGTTGAATCCCCCTTGGTCACAAGTCTACGTAGATTTAAAATTGTCAAGTGGTTTAGTGTGGTGTTTCTCTAGCTCTGTGTGGTATGGGAGGAACTTTTCCATTTTTAGAACCAAAAATGTTTAGTCACTGATGCTTTTAAAGAAAATGACAGGCGTGTAGACATATACTGCAGAGCACGTTATTCTATGGTTTCAGTGGAGAGGCCCAGAAGCATGATGGTGACACCACCATGCAGGTGGCTTCGAGGTTTGAGTTAGCACTGACCAGGAATATGATTATCAAGCTCTTCCCTCGGGGGAGTTGGCCTAGACAATCTCTCTCAGCAGGAGACACAGGGACCCTCCTCTTCCCAGGGTAACCCAGGGGAGGCAGGACAGCCAACTTGGAAAACATCTGCCAGGCTTCTGATGAGGTGCTCTTTGTCTTCCCAGCTGACACCCCCATTGAAGAATTCACGCCAACACCGGCATTCCCAGCCCTGCAGTACCTGGAATCTGTGGATGAAGGCGGGGTGGCATGGCAAGCCGGACTAAGGACCGGGGATTTCTTGATCGAGGTAGGGATACAAGTGTTTACATCACTCATTTGGGGAGAGCGCTGACTCTCGCTTGGGAAGGGGTCATGGTCATAAGGGTACAACCACAATGAGTGAGCTGCAATGCTTATGGAGGCTGCCATGGACTTGTGCTGTGTGGCTCTCTCTACCTCCTGTGTATGTCACTTCCTGTGGCCTGGTGTTTGAGTTGACTTTGAGGCACTGGCTATAATTCTTCGGAAGGAGGAAATGTATGTGGAACTTGGCCATTGGTCTTAAAGTAGAAGGCAGGAAGAAGAGACATGGTTGCCATGATGGTGAAGACATGTGTGGATCTGTGGGTGGTTTAGTTGTGACTCTGTAAATAGACACCAAGAGGAGTCATCGCCCACTCCTGTGTCCTAAGGGCCAGCCAGCAAGCCCAATGTGTCATTTACTGGCACCAGATCTGTCACTGATGGCTCAGGTGGATTTGCAGTCATTGGATGGGTGATGGTCTTCAAAGACCAAGGAGCATGGGCCAAAGGGCATAACTTGAGTAGACAGGGCTAAAAAGAAACCTTGGTGTGCAAGTACTTGAAAACTCGCTTTTGATAGCACCTAGAAGGAGGGAACCTCCTCTGCATTTAAAGAATCTCATTGGGTGCAGGTGCCTGTGACCTGTGAACTTCACCTATATTTGCATTTGGAATGTACAAGGTGTCTGAATCCCAGCACATATGACCATTGCCTGCCTGGGGATTTAGATGTTACTTTCAATTCCATGGTACAAAGGAATGTGTTGCTTTTTTGGAATATGAAGTCTGAAAGGATATGTTGTGGGTTGGAAAAAGATTCTTTCTAAAAGGTCTGGTGGAATAATTGAAAGTTCACATTTCTGGGACAGGTGTTCCTCAGTGCTAACCTGAGCCTGACTTCCTGTGTATCAGAAATCCACATACAGGTGGAAGGAATAGAGAGGTGGCCTAGAGAAAACAGACACTTGTGCACTCTGTGATGGGAGAGATCACATTTTGGTCCTGCTGAGCTGGCCCCTTGAAGCCATTTCCCCATGATGCCTAAACTCCTAGTGATGCTTTTCCAGCTGTGACTTGGCTAATGATCACAAGATTAAGAGGCACTGGAAATCCAGAGGGAAGATGCTGTTGGGGAAGAGGGAGCCAGGTAAGGTGGAAAAGGTGTGTTAACTTATTCCAAGTGTCTCATGTTGATTCCATATCACTTCCTGAGAAGACAGATTTAAATTAGTCTTGACCAATCAGAGCCAGATTTGAGTGCAGAGTGAGCTAATTCTGGTTCTTGTGTGTTGAAACTATCAGATGCAGCTCCAGAATGGTGGAGCCCAGAGCCCACTGCAGCTCTGTGGGTTAATTTGGTTTGTAACCCTCATGAAAATGCAGACTAGGTTGAATCATCTTCTGTAGGATGCAGTTGTGATGTAAATCCCCTTCCTGTGTGTGAGAGAGAGAAAGAGACAGAGACTGAGGGGGTGTGGCCTTGGGCGGGGAGGCAAGACTGGGGTCTCTGAGTATCGTGCAAGTGTGTGAGGGTGACAGAGAAAGGGCCCTGGTGGGCTGACACAGGGTGGTGCTGTTCATGGATTTTAATAATAAATGAGGGCTGCAGATGCACAAGCAGATGCCTTGTTCGGCTGGTTGGATTGTTTCTTTGATAAGCAAGTCAATAGAGGAACTTGGCCGGAGAGGGAGGGGCGTACGCACCGCTGGTACACTACTGGCTTAGTGCGTGTTGCCCCGAGCACCTGGACCAACCAAAGAGGCCTGACACCCTGTCCTGTCTGACTAAAGCCTCACAAGAATTTGAAGCATCAGGTGTGGCTGGCCTTCTATCGTCAAACCACCTCCTTTGACATTGATTTTAACCTCTGATGTGCAAATATATTTGCCATTTTAGAGCAGGCTTTTAATTCTGGGGAAGCTCTGAGTTTCAGGATTCTAGGAATGGCTAGAGATATGTTAGGACTGTGTCAGGCCTAAGATGTCACATGAGACCGGAGGGAGGCCCAGGCCATCCACAACCATGTTCAAAAGGCTGCTTACTTCAGATTGTACACTGACAGCAGCATAAGGTCAAAGGCCTGAAAGAACAGGCTCCTCCCAGTTCATTTCTCAGCCTACCTCAAGGGGACTCTGAACACCTCTGCCAGGTGCTTAGATGTAAGATTGAAAATCCCTGTTGAGATGTTTTCCTGGCTACTGGATTTCATTGCTGGAATATTAAAATAATTTATAGCCTTAGAGAGGCTTATTTCTTCCAACAATTTTTCTACATTTTCGATGAAAAACTTGACCTTGGAGGGATTGTTTTAAACAGCCTCACTGGATTTCCATGTGGGCATGAGTTGGTGGGTTTCTGAGCTCCCGGGGAGGCTGACGTCTCCATGGGCAAAGCTGCCCAAAGTGCCAGCATGTAGCCCTCGTTTCCCCCATACCCCTTGGCAAGCCGTCTTTTTGCTTTATTTGAAAGAATCTCAAAAGTGTGTCAGACATTTTATTTTCTCTCTAAAAATGCATGCTGTGGTTCAAACCTTTGGACCAACGGGCCACTTTTGAAGTGAATGTTGGCTTTTAAAGTCTTCCACATCTACAGAGCTTCATTTTTCCATCTTTAACTTTGTCAACGCACCCTGACATGATCATCCTGCTCCAAGTCAGATCCCATAATGAAGGGTTTCCTGGGGTGCATGATCTTCCTGGGTATTTGCCTTCTAGAATTTCTTTCTTTCTCCCCTGCTGAAGCATTTGGGAAGTTTGTTCTTTTGTTATGGTTGTTGCTTCTTTGTTGACCGCATTCCCCCCGATCAAAATCAAAAGCTTTGAGTTCAGTTCCCTGTAAATGGCTCTTCTCAGGGTGGGCATTACAATAAGCCACACATGTCAGTGTGTGAGTTAGGTTGTCATAAAACATCTCAGAGGTGGGCAAGGAGGATAAATGTGTCCCTGAGGGTGAGGATATTTGATCAGAGTGGCTCTGCAGATTGGTGTACAATCATCCATTAGCATCCATGGGGGACTGGCTCCAGGACTCCTGGTGGTACCAAAGTCCGAGATTGTCCAAATCCCTTATATAAAACAATTTAGCATTTGCATATCATCTGTGTACATCCTCCCATATACAGTTTAAATCATCTCTAGATTACTTCTAATACCTAATACAGTATACATGCTTGTAGATAGTTGTTACACTATATTGTTTAGGGAATAATTATGACGGGGAAAAAAAATCTGTGCATGTTTAACACAAAGGCAAATTTTTAAAAATACTTTCCACCCACAATTGGTAGAAGTGGTAGAAACACACCCTAAGGATGAGGAGGGCTCACCATATTTGCCATCTTCAGATCAGCTCATTTGCTGGAATCCCCCGGAGTCAGTGTCACTGAGTCTTCCTGACCTAGAAAAAGAGGTCAGAGGTCACTCACTGTCAAAGTTTATGTGAAGTCACGGATAAGGTGTGGACATTTATGGGTGGCCACTGTGCATGGAGTCACTGAGGAGACATGACATTTAGTGTCACTTGCAAGTCCTACAGGGCTCACGAAGAGCCTTGTCTCATGCGACCTGGCTGGGCATCAGAATCACCTGAAGTCTGTTAGCCATGTGGAAACTTGATTCCAGCCCACACTGGCTGGATCAGAGCTGGGAGGCTGGAGTCAGAGCAGCTGTGCTTTTAGAAAGTCAGGGTAAAGTCACAGGGTCCTGGTGGGCAAGCAAGATGATGGCCTGCTAGCCTGAATGAGGTAGCATTTGAACCTCTTTATTTGTCCTGCTAACCTACATCTCTGAGTCCCAACTAGAAGCAAACTGCACTAATCTTGTGGTAGGATCAAAGTTTTTCCCCCAGACTTCCCATGTGGAAATCTAAGATGTTTTTTTCCTTGAATTACTTTCATGAACTAAAATATCTTGATCTCAAGAGATATTCATAAAGCAACTCAGCAGCAAACATGTGAGGGCAAACAGAATTTGCAATGACTATCCCCACAAGCCGTGGCCTTATTTATAGCCATTGAGGGAGTATCGGCCACTCCCTGCACTGACCCATCTAATTTGAACAGCAATCCTATAAAATACATGTATTGTCACCCCCATTGTATATGAGGAAATTAAAGCACAGAGAGGTCACATCACTTGCCCATGGTTTTATAGCTGGTAAGGTGAGATGGTGGGATCCCAGCCTGCCACCTGACTCTATCATGTCATGTCCAGCTCAAGGTACATGGCAGACTTTGATGGGCTTGATGTATAAATGGGAAGATGGTGAGGAAATAAACAAAACATGCACTGCTGATTTTTACTTTCAAATTGACAAACACTTTTATTAAATTACTATACCCGTTGCTGATAACAACACTCTCATGTTGCTACGTAAAAGAATAAATTGCAGTAAACTTGTAGAAATTGGTGCAACAGTGTGTAACAGGAACCCTACAGCTGAGCTGGGAATTATACCCAGAAATCCATCCTAAGGGAATTGTCTAAAAAGCAGGTAGAGATCACAGTGTAGCAAAAAATATAAATAAATTTTTAAAAGAGTTGCCAGCAGGGAGAGAACAAAGGGAAATAGTTATGGGTACAGCAAACATCTGTTGTAGATTCATGAGAAAACATTAAAAATTATTCCTACAAGGAATTCTTAATACCAATAGGAAATTACTGCATTATATTTCATGAGAAATGCAGAACCTAAATTATCTGCACAATATCGTGCAAAGAATACCCCCCCATAAAAATCTGTGCACAGAGTAAAAAAAGGATGTATTAACCCCTAGAGAGATGGGGTTACACTATTTTCTTTCTTAGGATTTTTCTATGTCTTAGATTTTCTATGTCTTAGATTTTCTATAGTACTAATCTTTTGACAAGTAATAATTTGTAAATAGAAAAATATTTCTTAGAAGAAGGCCATCCAACACTGGGGAGAGCTGTCCTACTCTCCTCAACCAGGCTGGTGGCCTTAGTCCGGAGATAAAACTTTCCAGGTGTTAATTATTTTCCTGG